ACAGCCCTCGGCTAGCCTGAGACAGCAGCTCCACGCTCTAAGTCCTAACCTGATGCCCTGCTGGCACTGCTTCCGGCCACCCTTAACTTTGGTTCAGGGTCCACTCAATGTGGACGCGCTAGTTCGAATTAGCAAAATGCTAATTCGAACTAGTTTTTAGGTCTAGATGCACTAGTTTGAATTAGCTTAGTTCGAATTAACTAATTCGAATTAAGTTAGTTCGAATTAGTGCTGTAGTGTAGACATACCCACACAGATCTCAATGGTTCAGGAACCGAATTAGTAATCAATGCTGTCTAAAAGAGCCACAGTAGTATGAATTCATTGTTTTGATTACTACAGTACTATATATTCATATTTTAATAGTACAATGGAGACATTTTTTATTTTTCTATTTATTATATATATTCTATCATCAAAATGCCTAACCAAGTATTATTTTATCAACTTCAATTGGTTAATAACATAGAAAAAACATCTTGATTTGTTAATTACTTAGACTGGGTAATAATTAAATCACATGTGCTGCAAAGAGTTGTAGGAGACACATAACGAGTCTGGGTATGACTATCCTAGACTTAGTCCACCTGTGAAAGCGCCTATGAAGGCATTTATTTGTCCCACACTGGTACCATTCTGCAGTCTAGATTTCCCTCCATGATGTAATCTGCTACCATCAGTAACTGGGAAAATAAAGTTGTAAAACGGTTTACACTTCCTTTGGGGTTATGTGGTTTACTGACTTGTGACCATTTCATTTCAGCACTAGTCTTCAGAATACTACCTATGGCCATTCAAGTTTGACAAAACAACTGAAGGAATCAGAAGTAAGTAATGCTCTTAAATGCAGCAGAACGGACATCTGGAAATGATAATAAAGGAAATGTACGGAAGGACAAGAGAAATTTGGGAGAAAAGATTCCTTAATTTTTTAAACAGTCTTTTAATTGGGCAGGTCTTTGAACAGCAGCATCACAGGCAGTGGCAATGGGGCAGCTCAGCCCTCAGGCACTGGTTACATCTATCTCATTCACTGGAGCACTGTGACTAGTCTGAGGGGAGAAGAGAAAAGGTGAGGCACTGTGGTTCGCTTCAATAGCTTACTCGGCCCCAGAATAAACAGTTTTACACAAGTTTAATTCATCTTTCTTTCCATATATTCAATGCTTGTTTCTTAAACGGTTGCTTTTTATTGTTAAATCCTGTGATTCAGAGAAAATATCTGTTCAGGAAAACCAAATAATGTCCTTGATCTTTGTGTTATGAATAACTTCTGTGGTGTCTTTTATCTGAAGATTCAAGGCTTTTTATAAACTTTAATTAATTCATCTTAGCACACAATTGTAGTAGAGAAATATTATTATCCCCAATGTATAAAAAACAAACCTGAGGCACGAAGAGATTGATGGACTTGTCAAAGACAACACAGGAAACCCATGCCAAGGACTGGAGTTGGACAAAAGTGCCTAAATTGGGATGGGCAATAATTCTTGTGGGGTGGGGGAGCATTTCACCATTTTGGTAGTGGTTCCTGGGCCAGCTCTGCCCCTGGAAGGCGCAGGGCATCAGGAGAAAGGGGTGGGGCCTAGGCAGAAGGGACAGTTCCCTCTAGGCACCATGTAGAGAGGGAGAAGGGGGGTGCGGAGACTTTGTCTGCTCCCCCATGGAGCCTGGGAGCACACAAAATCTCTCAGCCCCTACCCTGCCAAGGGTGCCCTGAGGAAACTACCAGCCATTTTGAACAGCTGGCAGTTCACTCTGGTGCTGAGCACCCTGGGAGGAGAAGGAGACTTTGTGTTCACTCCCACCCCAATGGCCGATTTTGAAAGGCTAGCGGTTTCCTCTGGTGCCGCACACCCCCAGCAAGGCGAGGAGATTTTGCACACTCCCCCATCACCAAGGCCCCACTGGCCGGGGGAGGGGGCATGATAGGGTGCGAGCTGGCCATAGCTTGCCCACCCCAGGCCTAACTCCTACTTCTTACGCTCAAGACTATATTTCCATTCATGTCTTCATCCAACTCAAACATTTGGCATAAAGATTTATGAGACTGAGAAAACAGCCCCTTGGATCCAAATTGTACTTTTTTGGGTAATTTATAATGCATTCTTTTCTCTGAGTGAATTAGTTTTGCTGAGAATAACTCTTATTATTATTTTTAGATTTTTGAACATAGCTAGTGTAAGGAATTCATCTGCAATACACTTCTATTAAATCTAAGGAAAAAATTTTGTTCTTGTTAGATTATATTTTTCCCATAATCCAGCTCTCCTCCTCTTTCCTGTTTCACAATTTTTTCTTTTCCTGGTTCTTCAGATATGGTGGAGTCACAGTGTTTTCCCTGACGTTGATAAATCATGCAATTAAATATGCATCTGTTTCTTAGTCTTCTGGTTCATCAGTGATGCAGTATACTGCCACCTGGAAGCAACAAGTCCAGTAATACACCTGGGATTTCATTTCATCTAGACAAAAAATAACATTCACAGAATAGATGTTCCAACTGTTGAAATGAAGGTGCCATCTGTCCTCTTTCAGGAGAGGCAGAGCGCAGTGGGGAAAATGGCACGAGCCATGACACAGCTATCGGCTCTTACTACTTTTAAAAAGCAGAGGCGTAGTATCTAGGACTGGGCGAGAGCCAGGACTCAGTTGTACCAGCTTGTTCCTGGTCTCAGACTGCTGCAGCTCTGGTTTATAAATGAGGTAAGAGCCTGGCAGTTTTTACTACATTTAGAAAGCAGAGACGCCGTGAACCCCCTTATCAACTAATTGAGTATGCTCTAAATCAAGTTAGCGCAGGGAACCTGCCTCGAACTAAGTAAGTTTGAGGCTTTCCTGTAGTGTGGACACACTATTTTGAAATAGTTATTTCAGGAGCTATTATTTCAAGATAAGTTATTTCAAAATAATTTCCTAGTGTAGACATGCCCTTAGAGACTAACAAATATATATATATACAGGTCTATGTAGCTCTTTAAAGACTAACAAGATGGTTTATTAGATGATGAGCTTTCGTGGGCCAGACCCACTTCCTCAGATCAAATAGTGGAAGAAAGTAGTCACAACCATATATACCAAAGGATACAATTAACAAAATGAACACATATGAAAAGAACAAATCACATTTCAGAACAGAAGGGGGATGCAGGGGGGGGAGAAGGAAGGTAAACTCACAGACATTTACAGTGCTACATAGTCCTGTATTTTGGTTCAGCTACACCAGACTAACACGGCTACATTTCTCTTAATATATATATGTAGTATTATGAGCTTTTGTGGGCAAAACACACTTCTACATATATTTTGTTAGTCTCTAAGGTGCTACAGGACTACTCGGTTTTTAAAATGACAGACTAACAGGATACCCCTCTGAGACTTTTAAGAAAGCATACACTTTTTGGTGAACAGTCTTGCCTTCTTCCTTCTGTTCCTTTGGCAAGGAATCTGAGTCTCATATATTTTAAGGTCAGAAGAGATTACTGTGATCATCTTGTGTGTGTAGTACAGGCCATAGAAATTCCCAAAATAATTCCTAAAGTAAATCTTTAAACAAAAACTTCCAATCTGGATTTTAAAATTGCCAATGATGGAGAACCCACCATAACCCTTGGAAAATTGGCAATTACAATCTCAGTTTAAAATATGTGCATAATTTCCAGTTTGTATTTGTCTATCTTCAACTTCCAGCTATTGGATTACATTATAGCTTTCACCGTTGGGGTATGGCTAGACTGCAGGGGGGGTTCGGGATACCAGAGGTATCCCAAAAAACTCCACCGCATCCAGCGAACATGTTTGCTCCTCCACTTTTTTGTGTGAAAGCAAACACTCTTTTGGAAGCCCCTGTATTCCTCGTTCCACGAGGAAGAAGGGGGCTTTTTCAAAAGAGGGTTTTTTTTTTTTTTTAAATATGGCCCAGTCTAGACGGGCCAAATTTCGGAAAAGCCTCTTCTAACAAAAGTATCAGAAAAAGACAGGCAAAATGCATTCTGAGACATGCATATATTTTTCCAATAGATCCTCGCATCTAGACAAACCCTTTGAAGAGACCATAATTAAATACTTATTCCCCATGTAGCTTCTTATAGACTATAATCAAGTCATCCCTTATCATTTTCTTTGTTAAGCTAAAGAGCCTGAGCTCCTTGAGTCTATCACTATAAGGTATGTTTTCTAATGTTAAATCATTCTCATAGCGCTTCCCTGAACCCACTCCAATTTATCAACATCCTTTTTGAATTATAGACACCCGGACAGGGCACAGTAGTCCAGCAGTGGTTGTACCAATGCCATACACAAAGGTAAAATAATCTCTCTGCTCTTACTTGAGAATTCTGGCGTTTGTGTTCATCTCATATCTACCAAGACTCCCAAATATTTTTCAGAATCACTACTTCACAGACTGGAGGTCCCACTATCCAGTTAAGTATGGCCTACATTTTTAGTTCCTGCATATATAAATTTACATTTAGCAGTGATAAAACATGAATTGTTTGTTTGTATCCAACATACCAAGTAATCCAGATTGCACTGTATCAGTGATTTGTCCTCTTTATTATTTTTCACTAGCAGACATACCCGGCATTACTCGGGTTCTTCAGGGCAAGGAGCTAGAAGTGGGGGGGAGGTATGCAGGACTCAGGGTAGGGCTTTGGGGTTCTGTGGAGGAAGTGCAGGAGGCTTGTGGAGTACAAGAGTGAGAGTTTGGGGGTAAGGAGAGTCTCAGAGTAGTGGGACCCATCTGACACAACCTTTTCTCTTCTCCCAGGCAAGGGTACTTTCTCTCCTCCAGCAACCCCCAGCTGCCAGTGGCCTATTTTCTCCCCTCCCCACCCTCCATCCTCCTCTCCAGCCACCACGGGCCTGCCATTAGGAGCTGCGGCCAAGGGAGAGAGAGAAACAACTGCCTTGGGCTGTGGCCAAGGGCTGGGCAGGGGAAATGGTTTGGGATGGGGGGCTACTTATCTGGTGCGCTGGCAGGCAAGATGACGGAGCCCCAGCCCTGCTGGCCACTCTCTTGGTGGTGCGGCTGCCTGCAGTGGCCACTCTCATATCATGTCCCTCTGAACAGCTGCCCCTTTCTTTGAATGTTATAGAAAATAGTTCTTTTCCTGGGGCTTCCATTTGTTCTGGCACAGCCTAACCCTTGCTTTACATAAGGAGAAGAGAAAGTTGCATACCAAATTAGACCATCCTAGCTCTTACTGTTTAGGTGGAGTTCTTGAACAAACAGACTCTCATACAGACACTTAGACAGACAGACTCTAAAATATAGCTATAGATTTCTCCAATTTTTATGTTATCTACAAATTTATCTTGTGTTATGGGAAGGAGTAAAAAACTTTTTCTTATTTACTTTCTCCACACCAGTCATGATTTTTTAGAGCTCTATCATATCCCCACTAACAGATGTATGTAAATTAATAATATACTGGGAGGAAAAAGAGGAACTTTTTAACATTCACTAGCACTGGAGGGTATGTCTACCCTTGCACCCTCTTTCGAGAGAAGGATGCAAATGAAGACATTCGAAATTGCAAATGAAGCCGGGATTTAAATATCCCGTGCTTCATTTGCATATTTGCGTTATGGCGCTATTTCGAAATGGCTCTATTCTGAAATAACAGATGCTGTTAAGAGATGCAGTTATTTCAAGAGAAAACCCTTCTCTCGAAATAACCCTTATTCCTCATACAATGAGGTTTACCAGTTAATTTCGAGAGAAGGGTTTTCTTTCAAAATAACCATGTCTTAAAAGTGTCAGTTATTTTGAAATAGTGCTATTTCGAAATAGCACCATAACGCGAATATGCAAATGAAGCACGGGATAGTTAAATCCCTGCTTCATTTGCAATTTCAAATGTCTTCATTTGCATCCCTCTCTCAGAAGAGGGTGCAAGTATAGACATACCCTGAAAGATTAATCACATACTGCCACTTACTGATAAGAAACTGAGACCTCATAATAATGTGCCAGAATATGCTAAAAGTAGACTACCTCTGTAACTTGGAGAGAAAAAGTAAGTTTCAGGTGGATCAGCCAAGCAAA